CGGCATCGGCCGTGTTGTGTCCCCCTGCACTTAGCATACGTTAGCTACGATAATTGATGCGGCGCGCCGCGCATTTGCGACAATGCAGCGCTCGCAACTCCCATGCATATTACATTTGTATTGGACGCAAGGAGACAAGGAAAATGCACATGCGCGCGCGAATGCTAATAGAGAGAGAGAGAGAGAGAGAGAGAGAGAGAGAGAGAGAAAGAGAGAGAGAGACGAAGGGATCTTGTCATCCGAAAGGTTTTGTGCTATTCAGCACGCGAAACTTTAATACCGATATGTCCTTTGTCATTTTATTATCCACTCTTCCTTCTAGCTTTTTCTTCTTAACTATCGGGCCTTTAAATATTTTGAACATTTACGTGTTCTTTTTCTTTTTCACATATGATAAGCATATTATTTAATTATCTATTATTTCTATTAAATTTTGCTACTCAAGAGTGCCATTCGTTAGGTCAACTACATTTTTGTTGTCTCTTTTTGCATTTGAACACAATTTATTGAAATTATTCGGCTGCACTATAGGTAACGTAACTCAGATGGACTAAGTTGATAAATTTATTATATTCAACAATTAATTACGAACAAGCAAATTTGTATCTCCATTATACTCAATAAGTTAAAACGATAATGCTAATTTTTAATAGCTGAAATAAAATATTCTATTAGTCGATCTTTCTTTTATGAAAGTAATTATAATTGTATTGTAAATTTAACTATAAATAATGTACTTATTGTTTTTATTTAACAATTGACATCGTTTTAGTTTATTTTTTTTTACTATATTTTATAATTAGTCTTTATTACAAAAAATGTACAAATAATTTATATAAAACAATAATTATGTATAACATTAGAGAATGTATAAAATAATTAGGAAGTAATACAGATGTTATTTTTTTTTTTTTTTGTAATATGTGATAATTATTTAGATATATTTCTTAGAATATTTTACATAAATTAAATCAAACAATAAATCAATTTATCAATTCTTATAAAAACTTGAATTTTTTTATAATATTATCATTACAAAATAAATAAACAATATTGACATTTTTAAAATTACAATATATCTAAATGCATATACACACATGCATAATCATTTAATTAATATAAATAAATTGATAATGAAATTTAAATGAATAATCCTGTTTGTGCGTGTGTGTGTGTGTATTGAGGAGGGGGGAGCTTATTCGACATATACATCATTCAATTATTCTACTGTTAATAATTTTACCGATAATACAGTATTATAAAGTATTAGTGTAAAAGAAATTTTAAATATTTGCGTAATTGAAAGTTATTTTTTTTTAGATTTTCAATAAGATTTATAATAAATTCTTTTTTGGAGCGATGTAAAAAATAATTTATTTGTTGAATTTTTAATTAATTCACTGTTTTACAATTATTGGAAACAAATATAAATATTAACTTTTACTTACTAATTACATTTTATTCAATTTAATGTAATGTAATATGTTCTTTCTTGTTTTAAAATTATTGTATAAAAATTAAGGTAATATCATATATTTCATTTTATTAAACATTTTATATTACGTTACAATATTTTTGAAAAAAATTAATGTTGATTTAATTTTTGTAATTATTTTGTTTTTCTTTTTGTTTTAATTTTAGACGCCTATTAATGTTGAAAGGAACTTTAGATTTATGAATATCCGCAATATATTATTATTATTATTATTATTATTATTATTATTATTATTATTATTATTATTATTATTATTATTATTATTATTATTATTATTATTATTATATGATATATAAATTATACTTATGTAACTGTTATTTGGAAGTGTGAATAGACAGATTTTTTTAAAATGAGTAAAATTGTAAAACTATTTCAAGGCTATTAGCACTCTCAATTAAAATTCAGATTGATATTTCAAAAATAAGCGATATTCAACTAATTAATCACATGTTTTTAAAATCTATTAATAAGTTATTAATAGTTTTATTCTTATAAATTCTTTTTTAACATTGTTTGTTAAGAATTACTTTTATTCGATTTATAAACGTATTGATATATTAAATAATATTAAAACTTCGAGTCGAATAAGATAAGATAATAGTTTTTTAAAGATAATTTCTAAAGTATTTTCAAATATATTATTTAATTAAAATAACTATCAAAAATTAATTTACGCGTATTAATAACATTTTTACAAATAGCATAATGGAATCCTTGTAAATTAATATGAAATTGTTGATAATATAAAGAAAATTATTGCATATTACCGTCTTTAATTTATAGTAATCGAATATGTATAAATATGTATAGTATTTTATCAACTTTATTAAGTTTTTTCATCTGAATTTTGTTTAAATAACTTGTTAAGATGAAGCGACATATACGTTTTAAAATAAATCACATTTGCAAATGTGTTTAAAAATTAGTTTCATTTTTATTTGACAAAAGAACGTAATTATGTTCTTTTGGCAGATTTTACATTTCTATTCTCTATCCATAAATTTTCCTATCTAAGCATAACAGATATCCGTACATTTTTGTTTTTAATAAAAAACAAAAAAAAACTATTATTGCATGTATATTTTTGAGTTGTTGCTGTTTCACTATTTCATTATTATGCAAAGTCTATTTTTATGTCAATGCATATATATTGTATTCATCTCGTTTGTTTATATTTTTCTAATAACATATCAAAAAACTTAAGCATTATTAAATTAAAATCATAAAATTTAATATATAAGAAGACGAATTATATTATCCATATTTATGAAGAATGTGTATTTGAATACGTTCATTGATATGAATATGGCTGTTTTCAATGCAGGAAGCAAAAGTTATACGAACGCAAATATTCAGATATTATGTAGAAAAATTAGTTTCATCTCTTTTCATATAAACTATAAAGAAAATTTCATAAACAATATTTTTTTTATTTTTAATAATAATAACAAATAATAATAGTTTAATGACTAAGATATTCTTTTTTTGAATATATCTACGGCTTGTCGTTATCGTAAAATTTGACACTCGAAATTGATTAGAAAAAAATTTTTATTCTTTTAATAAGTTTAATGGAATTTCAGATGTACAATGTTCGTCGAAGGAGCATAAAATTTTTTCTGTATATTTATAAAGCCGGCAATATGCATTAGATTCTCTCATATCCATTTCAACTGTTGTTTAAAATTTTATACACAAAGAATAATCAGAATGTGTATCTCTTGACATTATTAGAAAAGCTTAAGAAATTAAATGAAATTTTAGTCGGCAAAAGAGCACGTTAACGTTTCACGTTTATGACTTTCAAATTATAGGCTTTTGCATATTGGATTATTGGGGAGCGCAAAAGAGAGTCGAGACGGATATGATATTTAAATGTATGGATTGTAATTCAGGTAGGTGGTTTATCCGTAAATACGATAATTCATAGCTGATCGAAATGCCCAGGATTGAGAATGAGGAACGATCGACACGCAAGCGAAAAAACTCCAAAAGTACCGCCGAATACAAGAGCATATCATATCTAGGGGTCTCGGTCATATCGGTTGGTTCAACGCGCGTCCAGCATCTGTCAGAGCCGCGATTCGTTCTTACTCCTGGCACGGCGCATGAATGGACCACTCGGACCCCCCGAGCCCCCCCCCCCCCCCC